TTTTGAAATATAAATGGATTCTATCACAAAACTCAAACTTATCAAGATATAAAAATAAATATACTCAAAGAATTTTCTGAGTAGTCATTTCTGTTCAATATAAAGTCAATATAGGTAAATAAAGTGCTAAGCAATGTTTTTAAGGATTGCATATCTTATATCAGAAAGTCCAAATATAACTGAATTCATTTTATTAATTGCTTCATTCAAAGCATTTGTCCTCCAGGAAGCATACATAATATTATTTGTCAATACAGTGAGCCTTAAACTAATACAAATAACTGAAATTTCTATCCAAACTTTAATACTCTCAGGTCTTTTTTATCAATGATGTTAAACTATTCTTTTCCCATACCCCCCATATTAAAAGTTAAACTTAAATGAAAAACAAATTGCAAAGAATGAATTTAAATAGGTTAAGATAATTATAATTATTCAATAAATGATTTTAGGCTTTAAGTTAGAATAAAGTGCACAAAACTAGCCAGGGGTAGAGTGACAAACTGCCAAAGATTCTGATAATTATTACCAAAACTATTGAATCTGTTAAAAAAAACAAAAAAAAAAAAACAATTTTTTTTTAAGATAAAATAATAATAATATAAAAATGGAAAATAATAAATTAGTTTTTGTTTCAAAAGCTTTGCTTTATTTTTGCTTTATGATTTTTTTCACTTATTTCTGTTTTTATTTCATTTTTTATTGTTTTCAAACAAAATTTATTTACCTTAAGAAAAAATAAAACAGAAATATTCAATTATGCTCTTTTTGAAACTTAGTTTCTTTTTATATTTTTCAGAACAATGATTATTTATTTTTATTGTGACTTATTAGTTTCATTACAATTATAAATTATTTATTTATTGTTAATTACTTAATGTCAGCATGATTGCTTCATTTGAATTTAGAATAAGTTTTTCAAGTTAGTCACAAGTCAAAGTAATTATTATTGAAAACCAGAAATATTTATGGGCTTGGTTTTATGGTGAGGGATGTTTTGTTTTTACTACTAATAATAATAAAAATAAATTCAAGAAAGAAAAGAAGAGCATGATGTCACCACATTTGACTTGGGACCACTCCTTTATTTTATTTTGGAATAAATTTGAGCTGTAAAAATGTTTGATTTTGTAAATGACAAGATGAAATTAAGTTGATTTTAGTCTTAACATTGATTGTCAAACTACAAAGAATTTTTAATTCAGTTTTTACTGATGAGAAGACAAAATGATCCTATCACTGGAGTTAAAATGAGTACATGGATTATTGTTAGAGATAACTTTTATTTTAGCTTTAGATTGTTTATGATGAGGATGAAGAACTGTAGTAAAGTGGGTTGGCTGAGCAAGTTCATCCTTTCCTTGCCACAATCTGAGAGTGGGGGTGGGTGTTAGGTCCATCCCAGCACTGAGGTAGCACCTCCTTTTGTTGTACTTAAGGACTGAATGCCAAAGTCAATCCCTGCTACCTGAAGCATCCCACAAGGAGACTGAGCAGTTTTTATCTCTACTTCTATGTGTGTGTGTATGTGTTTGGGTGGGGGAACATACATTGAACTGATCTTGTATTAAATACCATGTCAGTAATTTATTTAGCTTTTCAGTAAGAAATGAAGACCATTGACTTCACACAAGAAATCAGAATTATAATATGACGTTCAATCAGTGAGTTATGCTTCAAGAGTCCATAACAAATAATCCACAAAATTACCAGAGCCTCTGCTCTATGGCAAGGGTTCACAAATATAAATAGTATCTTTCACCATAAAGATATAGATCCCTCGAGTGAAAGATAATATATGTATATGTAATAAATTGGTAAATTTGCAACAAGCGTGTACAATATATATATATATATATAATCTCCCAGGTACTGCATCACACTAAAACTGGTCAAAATTCAAAATGTTTTCAGTTGATACTGTACTAGATATTTTGACTTGATGGTTATTTGTCAAGCAGCTTATTTTAGTAAATACAAAAAATAAATGATATGATCAGCTCCATAAGTGAAGCACAAATATATTTAATACTGAATAAATTACTTCCTTAAAGCATTTTAGTGATTGTTTTAAAATAAGTAAAACAGAATTTATTTACATCACTGTTCAATGACTTCATTGTCTTCATTTAGAAAAGCTGTTTATGTGAGAATTCCCATATTTTTATTGCCAGTTTATTATTGGTTTCTGTCCTGAAATAACCATCATTTCCTTATAAATGGATACGAAATAAAAATAGAATAAACTGATAAAAATAGAAACTTAACAAAACAGTCTATAATGAAAACAAAACTGTTTTTGATAAGAATAAGTTGAACTGTAAATGGTTGATGTTATATTTAACCTAAAGAATATTGTGGCTGTTATTTTCTGTCAACTTATAGCAAACACAATTTCTGAAAATATTTTTTGTTGTTTGAGTTTCATAATTTTTCTTTCTTTGGAAACTAATTTTGAAAAGAGTCAACATAAATTTCTTTGCTGACATGACATCGATGTATTACTTTTCCTTTCAATAATGAAAAACAAGTAGTTTATTCAATAACGTCTGTCTAATATTTCTTTTCAAAAATGATTTTTTTGATTAAATTTTAATAATCATCTGGTTATCCAGTCTCAATGAAAAAAAAATTAGAAATTAATAAAATAATTAAAAATACAAATTCCTAATACTTATAAAATGTAATACAATGTTTAAGGAAGTGTTGAAGTTTTTTCCTCTTAACCAAATAGCTGATAATTTTTCAATAGCCCTTGTAAGCACACAAAAATAATTCAGCTACACAAGATTGTCTTAATCATAACTGAATGTCTATATTAGTAAAAATTGAGTAATTCACCAAACAGAAGATGTCTGTGTGTGTATAATATTTACGCATGTTCACATTTCTCGACTGATTTCGATGAAATTGTACACAACATATTGCAAATTTACCAATGTAGGTCAAGACCAACTTTTCAATCCCCAAGCCCCGTGTTTGGCAGAAAAATTGATAAAACTGAAGGTGGGTACGACGTTTTGTAAAAACCAAGGCAAAGTTACTTGTGAACAAAATTTTTACTGGATGAGCTGATGTTCTTTTGCACTTAATGCAAAACTTACCTCATGCTATGAAGTTTATGTCGAGTGCTTGATAGTTTTCCTCTGACATTGGCTTCATGCAAAAAACTGAAAAAATTGAGTTTTTCGTATACTTAAAATAAAAATGAATAACTTCATTTCTTTTATCCGTCATGGAAGAAATAAGATAGTGTGGTTTTAGTCCTGCTCACTTCTCTGCATATACAGTAAAATCATGTAAAACTGTTCTTTTGGCTCCCTGGCTTTTTTTATGCAAATTTGCCATGAAAATTACATATGACACACAAATTGTCTTGTGTGAATGTTTAGTTTAGATTTAAGCGGATGAAAGCTGTGTGAAACTAGGTCCAAAATCGGCTTTTGCCATTTAGCCAATAGTTTCTTCATATGATTCCATCCTAAATTGGCATTCGAACAACCTTTAATGCAATGATTGTTTGAGAAGGATTATTAAAGCATTAAAAGAGAAAAATTCCTGAAGAACCTCTTATTAACCACAGCTTTACAGTAAACGTGTGAAGAAAGATCTTGAAGTCAATCTGTCCTCAAATATCTGTCATTTTGACCATGACAGTGTCTGATTTTGAAAGCAATGAAACAATAAATGCACCACATCTTATTCATAAATTACCTTATTTCAATTTGAAAGAAAATAACTTTATTCTTCATATGTAGTCATGACATTGGTAAAGACTAGTTTTACAGCTGTACACATATTTGTAATTGTAAAAAAGTAATGCATGATTGATTATACATAGATTTTCTTCTGTTTTTATTCTAATCCTCAAAATATTTTTGCTATAGCTTTGTAATTAGCTTATTTTTATAACTTGTTGATAAGCTTGTATATTATTACTTATAGATTTGAATTCATGTATTTGCATACCGCCCAAGAAGTTAATTACTTATACAGTAAATATAAAATTATAATTCTATCTTTATAACATAGAAATATGCTTGTAAAATAGTATGTGACGTCACTTTGACAAAAGAGTTTTCTATTAATCATGAGATCAATAGCTTACGATAACCATCAAGAAATATTATGTTGCTAAGGGGAAGTAACTAAAAAAAAAAAAGCTGAAAATTGAATTAAAAACGCATGCATTATTTTTCAACACTCCCTAAAAAAACAGTAAACGAAATGATTAAATTTCATTTTCATTATTTCTAATATCATTGGTCTGTGAAGGATGACTGGAAATGTAGCTTCAGTATATACTGCTTTATGTTCAATACTATAGAATTTGTAAGACTAATAATATTTAATTTTTTATATATCTATCCCTCTTTTTGATAGTTGTTACCATTAAGATATTTTGAACTAAATTATGGAGCAATGTGTATGAGAGACATTTTGTCCTTAGTACTGTTAGTCATGTTTATTTACTAATAGTTCTTTCTTGTTCACAAAATATCATGCACTCATATATACAATTAAAAATAGGCATCTGCATTCCCATACAGAAATAACAGCTGATACCAACATTGTTACCTTGCTTTAATTTATAAATATACACAAATGTTCCCACTGAACATGGAATAAATTTAGCATAAATATTCATTAATAGTCCTAAGTATGGACATCTATAAATAACTTTGAATTTCTAACTGTGTTCTAAAAACACATCAGATTTGGTTAGGATTGGTGTTTTCATTGTTGATTTCTTTGTTGCATATTCCTTTGCTAATTTTAAATTTTGTTACTCAGGTTTTCTTTAGGCTGCTATCTTTGGTATTTCCCAGAGAAATGGTTAGTCAGCTAGTGTTTCATACATGACTGAAATTTATTACATATTCATATTCTGAAAGGTGATATTTCAACAAACAAGTCATATGGAAAGATATGTATGAATTGTAAATTTTTAATGTTTTTGTGTTAAGAGAAAATGAGATGAATTTTTATTTGATGCTCTTTTATTTCTGAAAAGGAAAAAATGCTGCTGCTGCTGCAAAAAAAAAAAAAAGTACCATTCATAGAGATGGTGCTATAGCCGAGAGTACAGGTCTTAGGTGGTTTTAGGTTCAGAAATTTTGATCATTCTGGCAGGCCTGCTGTCAATGATGACCAAATTGATTTGGGTCAAATAAGGGACAAGGCAGAGCCAAGCATTGTAATGCATTTAAAACATTTGAACATAAGAATCACAGTAATGTTTGGGTGCCTCATTATTTAATGGAAAAATTTGACTTTTCAGTGGTGATTTTCTGCTCAAAAAAAAAAAAAAAAAAGGCACATTTTTTTTTTTTTTTTTAAAAATAAACAATTGCAATGAAAAATGTAAAGTGAAATGTTTTCTATCAGGACAATGCCAGACTTCAAGTCTCTTTGCAGGCCCAACAGAAATTGGTACAGCCTGACTAGGATGTCCTACTACACCCACCCTCCTGACTATTCACCTGATCTTGAACCTTTGGATTACTGCTTATTTTGATCCTTACAAAATTCTCTTAATCCTTAAGCAGCTTTAGTCAGTAATGTTAATATAAAATATAAACTCAAGTTCACTCATTGAGAGTAAAAGAACAGATATAGTATTTTAGAGAAAATGATAATGGGTAATTTATTTATTCATTTTATTATTGTTTTACTGACATTTATTTTGAATTTAAATGGAAATCAAGTTATATAATATAAACTAATGAAGTTGTTTTTGTAACAAACTTTAATGATTTTTCACCCCACCACAGGTTAAAGGCATGAAGAAAATATTGCAGTGATGTTTGTGGATTTGCAGTTGCACTTCATTTGAAATTGTTTTTCCTTATAAAATATGTTATTGTTAATTTCAGTTATTTTGTATTCTGTTGAAAAGCAATAAATTTAATCTTATTTAAAGAAAGTGTAAATGTGTATTATTCCTTTATTCACAAGTTTCTTTCAGTGATTCAAAGCCAGTGAAAGAAAAATTATGCTGCCAGAACTGTTTATAAAGTCAAAGTAATCTGCTACAATCAAAGAAAATTATTAAAATATTTAATCATCTAAGTTTTTACATTTATTCTGTGGAGGTCTTACTGTGCTGGATGTACTTAAAGTATAATTAGTGGGTAAATTTCAAATTCTGGCCTAGTTTCTGGCATTCACTTTTGCACTCAGTAATGACCCCCCCATTAGCTATAGGCTAAATAGTAGTGTAGACTGATCTCTCTAGCTTTGGATGGCAGTCAGTCTAAGAAGACTACCCTGAATTAAAAACTGGAGAAGATAAAAGAAAACCCATTCCATTATTTCTCAAGAAATCATGGAAATTCAGTTTATAGAAAAAGGAATTTAGTGGGTAACTATGATTGCTTGTCTTAAAAGGACATACCATTAAAAACAAAAGAAAACCTGGTGTTGCTTCAGCAGTTTCTATTTATTGAAGTGAGCTTATTAGTTTTTGTGAATAGCCAGATTTGTTCATTACAAATGTTTTACTGCTTTTATCTGTTGCTAGTATGATTATACTGGTATTACTTTCTTATTTTAGTTTAATTGGGTTGGTATTGTCTAATGTCTTACTTTCCACCTAAGCTTGTCTGTTTGTAGTTTAAGAATCCTGATTGGGATTATTACTATAAGATATATTTATTTATTTAGGACTTACAAAATCTTTGATAACTACTTTAATGCTTTGTAGCTGAACTTAATAGAATCTCATTTTTTGGTCCTTTAATTTTTGGAGTTTTCTTATATGTATATCATAAGAAAACTCTAGGGTAATTTTTTTTTTTTTTTTCTCTTTAGTGTCCAGTGTTATTCAGCATAGGAATAACTTCATTCAGCAACATGTGTCTTACGATTTTTTTTCTTAAATATAGTGGATGTTTTTATGTGAATAGCGATATAGACTGTTCTATCAAGGCTGTGACTGTTCGCAGCTCCTGTTGAACTCTCTGCCCAAAGCAGAGAGGAACCCAGACCTGTACCCGTTTATGCAGGTTTTACAGGGATTTTTTGGCCGAGCCTATGGGCTCAGATGACCCATGTTAAACTCGGCCTCGTGCCACATGTATCCTTGTGGGGGTTCTGCTAAATATAATAGTGGATGTTTTGCCAATGTGCATTTGTAGTATTTGTTAATTTTTGGAAAACTAGTTGGAATTAGCTTTAGGTCTTTACATCTTTAGAGAAATGTTAGGTATCTATACCTTTCTGATAATTTTGGGTGGAACTTTTAATTATGCAACTTTCAATCTTGCGTTAGATTGGGTTTGCACCATTGACGCTTCTTGTTTGTATTTTTATAAAACGCTTTGATTTTTTTTTTTTTCTCTAAACAATCATAAATTATAAATTTCAGAGGTTATCCTTGTTTTCACATGACTTGAAATTGCTAAATGCTGTACATACAAAAATGTGCAAGTACCTAAATTTTCATAAAATAATTTTTGCAAATTAAGGAAATCTTTTTATAATAAAATTAACTAAGTGATTAGTAATTAAGAGTGAAATTAAAAAAACAAAAAGCAATCTATCTGGTGATTGTCTACAAATACCTACCTATAAAAGGTTTGTTTGCTATGTATTTGGCTCTCATAAAAGAAAAAAAAAAAAAACCCCAAAAACATGCATCATTTCCATATTTGCAAGAACTGCAGTTTTATGAATATAGTGGGTGAGTAAATGAGAAAGATTTCAAATACATGCTTACATTAAATTAATGGTGTTTTTGTTTCTTTTTTAACCATATAAACATGTCCTAACTAAACAACCAGTACAGGGAATTTTTTTTTTTTTTAAATACAATTGTTGACATTTGTTCTAATCTTACATAGAAGAAATCCCCCACACTTATTTCTAATTCTGAAACTGCTGTTCTGACTTTCTGGTGTGTACTATTACTATTTGTAAATTTAAATTGTTTTGATCCTTGCAATAATCTGAAGATTGTTTTTATATAATTATACACCTCATTACGGTCTCATGTTAGCCATGAATGTAGGTTGGCAACAAGCTAAGAGTGTGTGTGTATATAACAATAAGCATTAAGTCTTATCTCCTTTGTTCAAAGAAATCTTAAGAAAAGAAAAATATTTCCTGGATTTTATGTTTTTTTCCAAGCAATCAAAGTTTGATCATTAATTTTGTTTGCTTGGTGTGGATAGAATTTGTGTTACAAGTATGATTATTTTTTTTTTTTTTTTTTTTTAATTTTGGCACAAAGATATAAAGTTTTTTATCAACTTCATGTATATTAAGAATAAATCTAAATAAAATCTAAGAATTTGAAATTGCTTCCCTCCTCCTCTCCCCAGTTTAATAGGACAAAAGAACCTGGTTCTTAGGATGTTACCTTTAGTCCTTTCCTCTAACAATATACCTACTTTTCTCAAATTCTACGATATCAAGTTTAAATCTCACAGTTCATGGCTGCCACTTTTCTGCTTTAACCACAGATCAAGCTTTCAAATGGCAAAAGTTAATTGATATAGCTTCTATTATACATGTAAAAGAGTTTCAATGGAAATGAAGACATTGGAAAGGTTTTAACTACCAACAGGAAATGAAAAATAAAATAACTGAAGCAAAAATCACTTGGTTGAGAAATACTAAAGTTAAAACTAAAATGGTGGATACAGTTTATGAAGCAACACAAATTTCAATTTGAGAAAAAAAATTGCTGCTGCTGCTTTCAAGAAAAATTTTATGCAGTTCAGATCACATCTTCATGAGTCATGATATCTCGGGCAATGTTATTTTTCAATTTGAGATTTTCAAAGTTTCACCACACATCAAAGATAAAATAAAAATTCTGGTGAATATAGAATTTATCTGTTTATACAAAATTTCAGATTTTTCTCTTGTTAAAGAGCTTGTTTTGAAGCAATTCTCAACAGATACAAATTTATTTTTGTTTGCACACAATTTTGCCATGTGCATATATTGGTGGACTATATTTAACTATTACCTTTGGACTTGGAATTGCTTCTTAGATTTTTTTTTGTAAACCTTGTAAAGACAATGAATATTGTCGCTGTGAAGAGATGTTTAACCAGTTTTCCTGCTAAGAAAGAGTTTTGTATTTTTAAACACACTATTGATTTACACAATTGAGGCTTAACCTTCGAAATGAGATTGGATGGCAACTTAATTATTTTGTAAAGATGTACTTTATCCTGTATATTTGAAACCCACAGTAGTTTGAGTTAAGTATTATATGTCTTGTTTATTCAAACTATTATCTTTTTTTTTTTAAAAAGTTAAAAAAAAAATATGCCAGAATAAAATAGGAAGGACTGAATAATTGAATTTTGTCATAACTATTATAAATATTTTAAAATATGTAATTTTAAAAAGTAACAATTACAAATAAAGAGATAAAAAAAAATTTTTAAGTGAATATTTTAATAAAGAGCTGCTTCCACAACACATAGGCAAGTAATTTATTCATTTTAACTAGATACCTGTCAAAAGTCTTCTCTGAGCCAATTCATTGTCTGGGTTGAGATTAATCAGAGTATTGCTAGACTTGGCTAAATCAGAGACTGAAATACGGCCTCTTTGTCGAATATATTTGGCTATGGCTTCCATCTCTTCCCTGGTAATATAGATAAATTTTCCTCGATCATCCATCACTCCAGTTAATTTACCTTCATTCAAGAGGGTATTAATACGGTCAATAGTATCCTGCAAAAGAAGTGAGATTGTCATTATTATACATCATCCTTGATTAGATTTGATGTGTTTGTAAAATACATTTAAGTCTTTATTTTTTTTCTGATCATGGTATCCAAATTTGTTATGAGAATAGCATATATATATAAAGTCTTGTAGTAATTAAAAAAGTGCATTGTTGCATACATTGCGATCAATCAAACTTGATCTGAAGAAATGCAATGTGGATGAGAGAAAGAGTGTTCTTATGTGCATCTGTTTTATTAAATGCAGTAATTTAGTAACTTAATGGTTTAAAATAAACAAGTTTTATTTGTAATCAAAGATTTTGCAATTAGGTTTCTCAACTCATGCATATATGGGATATTCAATAGAGAGGCAATGGCAATTAATCTAACATGTTAAACATCACAGAAAAGAGAAGAATTGTCTAACAATCAATCTTAACATTGCAAAATTCACCTATGAAGAACATTGTTTTAATAACATGTGGCTGGAGTTAGTTGTAAATAATTTAGAAAAAGTTCTAAAACCTCAAAAAAAAACAAAAAAAAAAAAACAAAAAAAAAAACAACAACCTTTTTATCTTTACCTGGTATAACACCTCCACAAAAAATGTGATACTTATGGTTTAAAATGAATTTTAAAAAATGAAAAATCTTTCTTGAAGCTTTTATTTTAGTCAAGTTCATAGATTAAATTTAATATTTCCAAATAGCAAAATACTATGCTGCATTTCAAAAACTGATTTAAATTGACTGGAAGGAATTATTTTTTTCTAAGATAGCTGATTAGCACCCTTTTTTTAATTGTCTTTCTTGCAATATAATTCTCGTTATTAAAAAATCTTCCAAAAATAAAACCTACTTTTCTGAAACTTTGAAGAATTTAAAGTATAATTAATCTGATTTGAAAAAGAAAAAAAAAAAAAAAGTTTAAAATAACACAGAAATACAACAGTAATTGTGTTTTTAACTGACAGTAGCCATGTTTATGTGATTGATGAACAATGACAAGTGCTGATAAAGATGTTAATACCTTTTTATGGTTCTATGGAGACTTTATCTGTTAAAACATAATTTAAGAAAATGATGGTTGAGTGCCTCTTTATAAGTTTTAAGTACTTGGTAATCTTAAAAATGTTGGAAAATATTCTCTGTAATCTAATTTTAGGAATATTGACTTTAAATTTACTATAGTCATCGCTCTTATTTTTTTGATAATGTCATATATGGTCACACATACTTTCAAAATGGACAGGTTTATACAATTAAAAAATTTAAAATGATTTTAAATATCTTAGTGAAAAATTTTTTGTCTTAAGTTTTCAATTTTTGATTAGTAAATATAGTTTTCACTTAATAACAATACCTAATGCAATTAAGTAATGCAGAATTTTGAAAGAGTTATATATAAATTATTATAATAAAAAAAAAAGTGAAAACAATTCTCGTAAAAATTCATTATTCATCAAAAAATTTGTTTTTCTTAAAACAATAGTATCTTTAATAAATCTTATTTATAAAAGCAATTAAAAGATTTTCTAATTAGAAAGTTTTATTGCATTTTATTTTATGTTGGAGCAGATTTTTGAGAAATGAGTAGTAGCTTGAAAAAAAAAAATTACATTCTCTGAGGAGTCCTGCATTTAAAATTTAATTTCATGAAATTAAGTGAGTAGAGGGGAACATAAGTGAAAAAAAAAAAAAAAGTTTCCAAAATAATTTCATTCATTTGTGAATAAGTCTTAAGTTCCATTAAAATCCAACAATTATTTGATTTTTGCAAGAATTTCCAAATCAGAAAAAAGGTGCTACAACAATTATGTTGACTGCCAATGTGAAAAAAAAAAAAATTGAGCGTACTAGAAAGGATTAGAAAACTTAAGAAAAAAGAAGAAAAAAAGAAGAAAAAAAGAAGAAAAAAGAAAAAAAAAAAAAAAAAAAAAAAAAAAGAAAAGAAAAAGAAAAAAAAGATACTTTGCCTTTCCATTTAATAATAAACATTTTGATGAGAAAACTTTGCTTTTATTATATTTGTGACCTTTTTAAATCATGCTATGCTGTTTTTTCAGTGAATTAGTGGAGGTAACTATACAAAAGGGGGAATGTGACCCTCCAACTGCCAAAGAGGCTTCAGGCAGCCAGTGAATTAAATAATGTAATATAGAGTCTTATTTTGGAATATGAAGTTGAGAGAAAAATTGTCAAATCTGAATGGTGATTGGAGTAAACTGAAAAATAGTTAAATTGTTACATGAAATGAAATAATCTGTGAATAGGCTGAAATCCACAGTGAGGTTTGAACTAGTGGATAACTTAATAAAATGAATTAAATCATTAACTTCAAACGCTTCAGGTGGGGTTGATATGAACAGAATCTGAATAACTTTGACTTTGTTATCAAAGAGCAGAATTACCATTAAATACCATTCACTGCCAAGATCTTTAACTTGGTCAGTAAATTTTAAAAATTAAACTCTAAAAAAAAAAAAAAAAAAAAATATATAAGGTATCCAGTTTTGAAAACAATTTATTCAGAGCTGGTGAAATTTATGACTTTTTTTTTTTTTATACAGGTGATATCTGTAAAAACATATGCAGATGCAAAAAGTTACCATTTTGTATGCTTAGCAATAACTTTCATTTTTTTTTTTAATGCTTTTCTGTTTTCATATTTGTCGTCTCTTAAAAATGATATTTTGGGTAAAACTCAGTCCAAAAAGCTAATTCATTATTTTTTCATTCTATAATTTCAAATTTTTTGCAAATTCTTTCTCCATGCTGGCTTTGTATACATAAAACATTTTTTATTTCCTCTCTATCAAACAACAAATTTACCTGTGTTTTGATTTTGAAATGTATAGCCAAATCTTCCAGCATAACAACTTTGAGTTCCTGAAAGAATCCAAAATGAGGAAAGAAAATCATGTCAAACTGATAGAAAATGAGGTTTTATACAAATGTCATCATTAATGAATATAACGCCCCACTCCCCCCAAATATACAGGTCTTCAGAAGATACACATATAGAAATGACAACAGTCTTAGAATTTAGAGAAATCAGACCCTGTTAAGACTGTGGGACTAACAGTTTTCAGTTGTTACAATTTGCCTGTTTATCCAAATGCTCATACTTTTTTCTCAAACCATGGTGAGAAGACATTTTGTTAAAACATCAGTGAACATAACATGCAAATTCTCCCATTTTGCAAAGCACGTACTATACAACTAAGGAAAGGATCATTCACATTGACTCAATGATAGCAACTATGGTCAACTATTCTGGTTTGAAGAGTAATATTTGGCTTGCTCAATGTCTGGAAACTATTTTGATTTGAACTTTTAACTTAGTATAATTAAAAATAGGAAATAAGGATTTTTGAGGCTGATTTTCCTCAAGAATTGGAAAATTTCATTTTGACCCATTTTCACTACATGCTTATGATTTCTTGCAATGATTTAAGACATTTCATTTCAGCTTTTCTCTCACTTTTGTTCATCTTGTCTTTCAGAAAAGATAGAGTTTTACATAGTAATCATATGTTATAATGGCTGAAAAATGAAAAACTAAAAAAATCTTTTCATTTTTTTTTTTTTTTTTTATCCCTCCTGTTGCTCAGAAATGATCTGTTTTGTTGGTTTTTTTTTTGTGAAGTTTTTAATACACATTGCATGATGAGATAAGATGAGGTGGTTTGCCTGTGTCTCCACATAGTGGTAACAAGCCAAAATCCAGGGTTTTGATTGTAAAAGGATGGTTTTTGCACATTTTTAAAAATTTCAGTTAGGAATTTTGCAACAAGTGACAGAAGATTGTGAGTAGTTGATCAAATTTGAGAGACTCATAATGATTGTGAAGAAGGAAAAAAAAGTTCCAAAGGAAAGCAATGAAAGTTGTTTTCAGTGAGAGGTTTTGAAAAAACAAGAAAATTCAAGGTTTTCAAAATTATTATTGTCTTCAAAATAATCTGGAAAATAGTCTCTGGATAGAAAAACATTGTTCTTGGTGTTTTTCTTCTTTCTGTGACTTTTTTGTCGGGATTTGCAGGAATTCTAGCTTGGCTCATGGTAGGTGGGCTGATGGGATACTGAAAAGTTGTCCAGTTGAGAACTTTTAAGCAGCCCCCCCCCCAACATACTGCAATTGTAATATTGCATAATGGAGAAAGATTTCTATATGAATAACATTTTGTAGCAAAATGCATTCTTTATGCAGTTGGCAAGTTTTTTTTTTTGTTGTTTTGTTAACTAAATATTCACCCAATACAAGGCTCAAGAACCACTCAAGGTAGAGGTTTTACTGAATGAGTTTTTGTATGGAGATAAGAAGAGAAAGTAAGTGCAAATTATGAGGATAGGTAGGATTGTTAACAGTTAACCTGAGATTTAAGAATAAGGTTGTAGTGATCAGGGAAGCATCCTCTCAGGAGTTTGTTCCACAAATTACTGGTTCTTGAGTGGAATGTCTTTATGACCAAGGTGGGTCCTATAGCACTAAAGGTTTGTACTGGTGGAACTAAGGAAATGTCAGAACATGCTCCATGGAAATAGCAATAGTGTAGTGATAGGCGTCTGATGTTTTATTTGTAGGAAAAGAAGTTGTAAGCTTCAAAATAATTCATCACCCACAAGGCTGATAAACATTTTCAAGTTCTATCAAAGCTGGAAAGTGAGAATTGGGCAGCTCAAGTCCAGACATGGCAGCAATACTCCATTTTTGGTCTGGTCTGACTCTTGTAAAGTTAGTACATTGTAGGAGTCATCATGGGCGTCACAAGAACTAAACATTTTTATGGATCTTTTACTTGGAATTTAATTGAAGAAAATTTGACAAAGAATATTTCAACTAATTTATATTGATTAACTCAATTTAAACCCTATTGAACAGAGAAAAATTTTGGGAAAATACTTACAGTTTTAAAATTTGACTTACTTTTATATAATTGATGAACTGGTTCAAGAGGGACTCAGACTGAAAAAAGAAAAAAAAAGTTAATTTGATTCAGAAACTTTCACTCTAAAATCAAATAATAAACTCATTATTAAGTATTTATTAACAAATACTGAACAAAACAATGATAGGGAATTAAGTAAATTGTAATTATAAAGGCAAATTTCAAATTTCTTTCATTCAAATTAAATGCATTAATTTTGTGTAAAATAGCATGGTCCAATGCATCAAAATTTGTATTGCTGAACCAAGTGAATGAACATTGCTATCTGAATCCCATTTTAAAATCAAACTTATTTCCTTGATGGATATTACAGTTTAAATCTTTTTCTTATATTTTCTTTAATGAAGCATTTTAAAACTGTATAAAAGCAATTATTTATTTATTTATTTTTAGAATAAATTCAAGTAGTTTGGACAAAAATAATCAACTCAGATCTGCCCTTTTGTATCATATCTTTACAGTTTTGTTTTTGTGAACAAAATTTTCCCAATATTTAGGCTGGTCTGATGTAAGAATTATTAATACCTTTGCATTATCTCTCTTTTACTTCAAGACTATATAATATTACATTAATAATTATTTTTAACTTGTTTGAAACTTGCATCTTTAATTATACACTGTTAAATTTAGATTTTTATCCAATAGTTGATGAACTTTGAATGGTTCACAAAAACAAAACTGTAAAGATATGATTCTAAGTAGAAATCCTGTCCAGCAGTGATATTGCTCTTATCTTCCACTAAAGACTTTTTGACTGTGGTTTGATTATTGATTCAGGATTCCCATCTTGTATTTCACCAGGTTTTCACAAATATAGGCATTATCCTCTAATATGTTGACTAATTGATCGATTAATTTTCTATGGCTTATCAACTCTCTGCAAGTTAAGCCAGAAAATATTCTTAGATTGTAAGAATTTTTTGAGATAATGGTTTAGTGATACAAGTCTTAGTGATATATAGCTGGGGGCAGAAGAGGTTGATTCATACCTTTCCCAAGAGCATGTGCATTACAGCTGTTTAAAACATTTGTTTTTGTCTTATAGGAAAATCCAAGATGGTGCTTGAACAAAATATTTGTCGAAAAATCCCATTCGTCAGTAACATTTTAAACCCCTCATAGAATGTGAAGTTCTCAAAGCAAACCTGTGCCAAACTATTTTCCTGAATCCTTGATGACTTGGCTGTCTGAAAATGACAACATCAAGATGAAATAATGGAAACTGACCAAGGAAAACACAATTATGCGCAACAAGTTTTTGATCAATCAGTTAACTTCTAGATGTTTTCGGGCCATGTTATAGGATCCAGACTGCTATTGTTTGCACATGGAATTATTCACTGGTAATTAATCTTTGATTAGGCTGTGAAAAATGTCACTTGGGAGGTTAGCATCAAAAAATTATGGCCAATTTTTTGAGAAAAATCACTTTTTTTTATGAAAAAATATTTTTTTTCAAACTTCAATCCTTTCTCTTTAAGTTGGTGTGAACATCATTGAATAAAATGAACTGCTCTATGACCCAACAATGGGAAATATGAAAGACATGTGGAGAAAAAAAACAATGTCATCTGCTAAGTGTTGTTGTCATCACCTGGATCACGAGGTGTTAAAAAACAAAACAAAACACATCAAGAAAGTTTGAAAAAAAAAAAACCCAAAATAACAAAAAAAAAAACAAAAAAACATCAAGCCATTTTTACCAAATTCCCTCTTTTTTTCACTCTTTGCTCTCATCTTGTAAGTGGTGGGATTTACAAGTTGACAATGACAGTTTGTTCTAATGTTTATTGCTGGCTGACTGGTTGGCCTTTCACCCAGACATGTCAAAGTCAATTTGGTTTAATTTTCCTTATCACTGATACTTTTTTTTTTTTTAAACTTCTGGTTTCCAGCGGCCAGGAACTGAGGATAAATCTTTTGCCCTTTTACTAAAGATTTGTGGCTGGGTGCCAATTTTTTTTTAGCCCCTGGCGGCTATATAATTGAAAATTACCAATGGACTTTGTTGCATTTAGAGCCCCTAGGAATATTGTTTCCTTCAAACTAATTTAAAAATAGTTTGATTATGATTTAGGATGATTTAAAAAATAAAAAAAGTTAATTTCCCATTATTGGGGAAAACTTTTGTTTAGAACTACAAAAAATGCAAAATTTTTACATTTTGCCCTCTGAAAAAAAATTTTTGAGTCATTCACACCAGCCAATTTTACTTTTAAATGAAAGAACATATTGTTTGCTTTCAGAAAATACCTAATTTCATGGGGGTTCAGATCAAAAGTTTCCTTGATATTTTGTTCAGATGATGATAAAACAGTCATTTTTCAATATTTTACCCCTATAAAGGTATGAAAATCCATCTTTTCAGAGAAAATAAGCTGTGACAAAATGACTTGCCATTTTTGTGAAAATTTTTACCATAGCAAACCTGAATTGACTTTATTTAACTTTAGAGGGGCTATATGAGCCCTCAAACAGCTGTGGTGTGTAAGTGAATAAAATGAACCCAATGGGAATTAGAACTTGACTCTGATTAACAATTCCAAGCCATTATCCATTACACCACCTGCACATCCAAGCAATCACCCATCTAGGTACTCACCAAGCTCAACATTGGTTCCCATACAATCACCAAACACAGATGGCATAGTTGTGAGAAAAGTGCATATGAGCATCCGCATTCCCCCACCATATCTACCCAAGTATAGAGTATGGTGTAAGGATTTGCAGCCATGTCAGAGCCACTATCTATCATCCCAATTAGCCCTTGCCACTATGTGACCAGATCAGGAGTCATTCAGTCATTAGAACTCCATCCACAAGCATCACAGATCGCCACCCATGGCAAACGGGTAGCCCCATTGAGGGGAAGTTGTAGTTTTTGGGAATCAGTTTTTGTGAGTGTGCATTTTATATATTGCAATTTGTATTGCTGGTATTTTTATTATAAAAACCCAACTTTACACTTTCTTAGTATTCAGACACCAGTTTGGAGGAGAGGGAAACTATTTACCCATAGACGGGACCCCAACAGGTGCTACCACCCCCGGTAAAGAGTGGATCTGGGAACAACAGCAATCAAGAGGTGGTTCCACACTCCTCAAAGCCTCCCAATCAGAGGCCTTGCTGCTGGATGCAGTTTGTCATATCCAAGATGCTGTGGTCTTGGGAATAAGGTAAATATTAAGCTTCTTAAAACTATAGAATTTTCAAATCAAGAAAAGTTGATAGAATCATTTCAGTTGGAAAAATGTAATTTTGTTGCAATGAAGCTAAGACAGAAACAATGTAATCAATAGATTACATTAGGCAACAAAGATTTTGGAAAGTTAGCCTAATCATGTACAATGTATATTAGTATCCATTTGACCTGGCATTATAGAATTTGTTTGTATAAGTTGGACAAAACTTTCGAGTTTCATACTACCGAAAACTTTAACAAATAACAGACAAACAGTATATTAAAGAATTGGATGCTGGATGTCTCTTAAAATGTGGTTTTTGCATTCTTATTTTGATTTTGGGTTTGATATAAAAGGAGAGCAGCTGAATGCACAAATTGCAAGTGTATCAAACATTTATGAAGTAAGCAGAAAAGTGAATGAGTATTTTATATTTGGTCATTTGCTAATGCCATCTAATTTCCTTTGATCATAAATGTATTATTTACTCATATGCTATTTGCCTTGAACATAAATATATTTGATATCTAGGAAATAATATTGGATGTAGGAGGACAATTCTGAGTAAATCTTTGAAATCTGTGTATTCAATTTGGTGTTGTACCATTTGCTTGAATAATGGACAATTGATTTTTTTTGTCTAGTGTTATAGGAGAAACATTTTGACATTAGTTAAAGCCCTTTTGTTGGTTAAATTTCAAAGCAAATTTTTTTTGGTCTATATTGAAATTTTTACTAGAGTTGTGTTTACAACAAGTTAAGCAGAACCTTTTTCATTTGTCAGCAACTGGATCTTTTTCTGAGGAGTCTTATTGCTGTTATCATCACTGTTTGAACAAACATCTATATTTTTCTGTACACTCGTAATAGGTTCATAAAAATATGTGAAATCACAAAATTGTCACAAAACACTTGCAAGAGTAAGCAAACAACAACAGATGCCAAAAGAACACTGCACTGAGTGAAATTGAAACTGATACGACATCACATAAAAGTCTCCAGTTTTCTCTCTATCTCCCATTCTTCATAATCAACAGTCTCTGCTCTATGGATTGAAATTCAGCAGCCATAAAAATTGTACAGATACTTGATTATTAAAAGAAAGAAAGTATATTCAAAAGTACAAACATTGAGATCTGTGTTTTCTTCTTGTTCTCCTTCTTCATCAATGGTAAACTCTTCCTTAAGCTTCAAATATTCTTCATGTTCTCGTTGTTCCTCTTCCTCCTTTCGCTTGCGTTCTTCCTCTTCCTAAAATAAAAATGGGGTGGAGGATCAACACAAAAGAAAAAGGAGAAATATTTTTAGCTTGTGATTACACAAAAATTCAGATATAAATAAAATACAAGGCAAAAACATTTTATGCCAGTGCATTTTGTTCTTTTGACTTGCCTTGATAACATTCCTAAAAAAAAAAAAAAAAACAAGACATTGCCATAAAGTTTTCATTATATATATATATATATATATATATATATATATATATATATATATGTGTGTGTGTGTGTATAATAAATTCTGGAAGGATGAATACAATAAATGAATATTGGAAAGTTAATTTTGACGTTAAATAACTTAGTCAGAAAAGCTAAATAAAAAGTTGAACAGAAACAACTTAATAGTTTAATAAAACTTGTTTGAAAGAATTTGATATATATATATATATATATATATATATATATATATATATATATATATATATATATATATATATATATATATATATAATTTATTCTGTTTATACATTATTTTATAGATACAACTTAAGTAAATGGTTGGAATGTTTGAGAAATTTTGCAGAAAATATCGTTCTCTGATAGTAATTGAACATGTATTCCATACATAAACTGTCATATAGCCTGATGTATGGTTTAACTATTCAGCTATATTGAACATTCCTAGTTAGCAAAGTCCAAATTACAAATTTATAAGCAGTAATTTGGACTTTGTTAACTCTTCATTTCCAATATAAACAGTGAAAAAAAAACTACTATACAATATCAAGCACTTACAAAGGTTGTATAAAATTGTGATTTTCAAAAGATTTTATTGTGTTCCCACTTGTCAATTAAATGAAAAAATATTTTTGTCATCATCCAATTTTTGTATAATAAAAAGGAGCCTATGCAGATATTTAATGTGTGTATATATATATATATATATATGAAAGAAAAATACAGAAAAAAACAAAATTCTGAATATGCATTATTAATGTTAAAATAAAGTCGACGTCGGACGTTTCGGTCTATTTAAGACCATCTTCATGGACATTTTCATTTAAACATAATTAACATTATTTTTGTTTTTTTCTGTATTTTTCTTTCATACTGTCGGATTTATATCCATATATTTGCTTACATATACATATATATATATATATATATATATATATATAATACTTCATATATACTGTATATTTTTCTGTAATATTTTGTTTTGTAGAGTTACATCCCTTTCACTGGTGATGCTTAGTGTCAATGTTTTTGTCATGATAACAGCAGACACTTCCAAGAAGTTGAAGCAACCACAAGATTAAAAGACTGTCTGTGAAAGAGGAGCCTACTACAATAATAATTTTAAAAAATCCCTTTAAAATTTATATGTGAGAACCTGATAATAGTAACAAAATTTATCATATATGCCATTATTTTTTAGTGGAAAACTAGTCTGCTATAAAGCAATATTGGGTTTTTAATTATTTGATATAAAAGATGAAAAGATGATTGCTAAAAGTAGAATGGAATTTAGACAAAATTTGCCAGATTCATAGACTATGAACTGATCTGTTTAGAGAGAAACAATGCCAATGACAGTAAGTTTCTTTGAGTATTTCTTTTCCTTTTGAAGGCTTAGACTTAATATTAAGATGGAATCTTATAATAGCAAGAGAAACGAAGGAAAAATGAAAAATAGAACAAAAAGTTTTTTTTTCATTTTAAATAACATTTGTTTTTGTTCCAACAATAACTCTGATATTGTAGTGAGAAAACGAATGCGCGTATAACTGAAGCTTTATTCAACTTATAATTCAGCGTGCTCGAGTGGACTTATTTAAATACAGAATACGTATAAGGGGAGATAATCCATACCACAGATTTTTAAACAGGAGACAAAATAAAATTCCTCTCTATAAAAAAGTGTCTATTTAAAAATTTAAATGGTGCCAATTGTGTGCGTGTGAGCGTGTGCAAAAAAAAAAAACAACAAAAAAAAAAAAACAATGCATTTTTAAAATTGACAGATTCACAAAAACCTCTAGAAATCGCTTGATTTTTCAGCTTTTTATGATTTGATGAATAAAAGCCATTGTTTCAAACAAACCAGATTTGAAATTCTTTAAAGTGCAAGATGATGACGACAGAACTCATCTGCCTAGGATTCAGTTATAAAACTTTTTATTGGAAATAAAACCAATGCAAATACATAGACAATACTCACACGAGCTGCTTCCTCTATCTTTTGTCTTTCTTCATCTTTTTTCCTTTTCTCTTCCAATGCTGCAGCTTGTTCTTTCTTTTCTTCTCGTTCTCTTTCTAATTGCTGGAAAAAAAAAAAAAAAAAAAAAAAAAAAAAAAAAAAAAAAAAAAGAAAAGAAATGAAAAAGTTGAAATAAATTACTTTAGCTTCTGCTGATATTGTTGAGAGGTAAGCTAAATTTTATACAGAATTCACAAAAACTGCAAAGTTACAAAGTTTGTGCAGCAAATATTTTCTCCTTCATTAATCAAATTATCAATTTCATTATATTTCTTATTACATATTTTTACATAGATGCATAGTTTTAAGGAGTAAATGAAGAAAAGACACTGTTTAATCTACTAAGTGATGAAGGGTTAATATTTTTTAAGCCATGAATTGTTTTTTATAGCAACAGCATGTGTACCTGACAAAGATCTACGTCATTACATTGACTACTGTAAGCAACTCATGTGTCGGGCCACAATAGCAGTGAAATTTATGATGTTTACAAAATCAAATGAACCGTAGAAGTTGCAGCAATAAATGAATAAGAAGCAATATGTGGCATTTAAAGAAAATATTTTGATTTCTTGAAACAACAACAAAAAGGACCAAGATAAGTTCAGTGCATTTTGTCAGCAAAAAAAAAAAAAAAAAAAAAGAATTTTTGCAATGAGGATTTACCAGTATTATAGGTTTTGTTATTTGTACAAGTATGACAACAGACAGGATAACACTAGAGAATAAGATGATGGAAAGAATCAGCAAGCATGAGCCAAGGACATTTTTACAAACCACCAGACATTAGATTTAAGGCTCCAGAAGGTCAACAATAGATTGTCCAGGGCCTAGTAGATAAAAGCATTGGTTTAGACATATTAGCTTCTTTGGCAGTTTTGAATTCAATCAATGAGTATGAAGTAAGTTCTAAGTCACATATTCTGGTTCAGTGAAAGAAACAAATAAATAATAGTAAGACAGTAATGAATGGTGATACCAAAGATTCTCTAAACAGAGAAAGAACAATAAAGGCTTGAGTATAAACAGCTTGGTTTTGAATTCCACAAAAGGTTACCAAATATGAAGATAGACACATAAAGGTGGCCAGAGGCTAAAACATTGTAAATAAAATAAGTGGATCCAAATAAAAAAATAGTACCTATTTTAGATTTCATTTAATTAAAATGTTGAAAGCATGAATTGTTTTTTTTTCAATTAACAATCATTACCAGTATTATCTATTTCATATAAATGGTCAGTTATTTTTTTTTAACAGAATTTATAAAGTATTCAATGAACATCCAATTGATGTGATGAAAAGGTGTACATGATATTGAAATTAAATCTTAATTAAGGATTGTATTTAATGAAGTCTTCCAAAGACTGATATTGAAAAGTTAAAAAAAATAAAAGGCATAAGAAAAAGAAAGAAAGACAGCAGAGCAATTTTACTTACTTCCCGCATTGCTCGCTTTTCTGCTTTTTCCTGTAATTTTCGGAGCTTCTTTGTACCAACTTTTCCCTCTGGCATGGCAATCTTGTCATAAATATCTTCTTCTTCATCATCATCATCATCTTCATGCCTCTGACTTGCAACTGGAGTTTCCTCATCTGTAGAAAGGAGGAGAATTATAATTAAAAAGAAGTTTACGATTAAATGATGTCAACATCTGTTTTGCTATTAGTCTTCAATTGTTAATACTTTTGTTTAGTTCAAGTCATATGAATACTTCATTAATTTTGAAAAGATTTTAAAATCTTTAATTTAAACTTCCTAGCAGACATATTTGAGTTTTATTATGAAACATTGGTGTGCAAAGTAAAAAATCACTTGTTCTCTTCAAAATATGGAACTAAATTTGTGCTATAATTCTTTTATTATTATTATGTAAGCTTTCTTACCAACCAGTGTCTCAGATACATTTTTTCTTTTGTCTTTCCTCCCAATCTAAATGGTATAGTTCATTATTTATCTGTAGTAATGACAAGGTGTACCACACATACTAACTGATTAACAGAATTATGAATTTATCATAAACAAGAGATAACGATTTATCATAAACAAGAGATAACGATTTATCATAAACAAGAAATAACGATTTATCATAAACAAGAGATAACGATTTATCATAAACAAGAGATAACGATTTATCATAAACAAGAGATAACGATTTATCATAAACAAGAGATAACGATTTATCATAAACAAGAGATAACGATTTATCATAAACAAGAGATAACGATTTATCATAAACAAGAGATAATTTCACTGTATGACAATTTGTTGTGGCATATAAAAACATTTTAAATTTAAAAAAATATGTCTAATGAGTTGGTATTATGGCCTGGAAATCTTCCACTGAAAGTTAAAATCAGAGGCTAAGATGAACTGCCGTGTATCCCCACAAATACCTTTGCAAGTCATATAGACTGACAAGTATGGTTCATTTCTGTTAGCATATTCTGTTAACAAATGGAACAATAAAAGAACATGCAGGTGACAATGAAGGAGTAAATCTTGACACATTTTTAAATTAAATTTAAATATAAAATTATATGAAGATGACAGAAACATACAATTTATAATTAATCAGAGTCACAAAATATTGTGATGTTGATTTTTTAAAATCAACGTCACAATATTTTGTTTAAATGAAGTGAAGTTCATATGTACCATGTATACAGTGTAGACGTGTATAGAACCTGTTTGGTTTTTAAGTGGTAACTTACCCGAATCTCTTTCTATTTGCATCCTACGTCTTGCCTGTCTATGCCTGGCTCCTGTAGGCAGGTCCTCCCGAGTTACAGGATCAGGCATACGGCGACGCACAGTACTTTCCTCTTCTGGCAAAACAAAAATTATAGAATGACAAAAGATGATCACTTACAAAAACACAAAAATACAAACTATATATTCAGGATTAAGCAAGGAAAATAAAAATAAAAATATTAAAAGCTTGAAAAACTGAATTTTAGTTTTAAGAAAATTTAATTTACATTTCTGAGAAAACTCTGTAATAATAGAATTTGCTTTTAAGATCATGATACATTCATAACATCTAAAAGAAGATATACATAAATAGGAACTTTATAATTATGGAAAGATTTAAGATTGGATCTTAAATATTTTATGATGAAAATGAGCTTAAAAAATGTAGCATGATTCATTATTGCAATGAGAAAAAAATTGAAAAATCATCACAGCATAATTTGTTGCAAAATGCTTCTCTATTTCACACTTAAGATTCTTACATCCATATTGGTTTTGTTACAGTATCAGATCATCCTATGGTAATGATAACATTATACAATTGAAATAAAAAAATGTCCTAGTCTCAAAAAAATCACATTTCAACCTAACACACTAAGCTGAAGTTGCCTACAGAAATAGAGCATACATCAGTATACACCCAAGCATTACAAAGTATCTTCAAATGTAAACAGCAACAAACCTTGTGATGAGGAAGTCAAGAAAGATATAAAAAATGAAAGAGAATAAAGCATCACTTGACACTGAGGTTGAACTTTGAAAATAGCATAACTCACTCCCTGAATTTGGCTTTCATTCTTAACTCTTCTTAACTCTTAACAGTCTTATTTTAATTTCTTTATAATATATTTTCCATAAAGCATCGCAAATGTAAAGGTGAAAGCTAAGTACAAAAAAAAAAAAAAAAAAGAATTAGAGTGGTGAAAGTTTTCCTTAAAAATAACGAGGTAAATAATTTTCTCACTTAAATGTAAATTATTTCACTTTTCTCCTTCCGTAGAACAAATTATCCTCACAGAATCCATCAATATGTCATTCATCACCTGTCAAGTGATGCGAAAGTTTATGACCTGCTTTGTTTTATTTTCAAATTACATCTTTTCGGCGCAGAAGCTAAGTTAAGCTTGGTTCAAAATATTTTAAATAAACATTATAATTTCTAATTTTCTTAAAATAAGTTTTGAAAAAATGATAATTGATATTTAAAAGAATTTCAAAGTGAGATTTCCAGTTTTTTATAAAATGGAAAAAAATGGTCAATTTTGCCGACTCAAAAAAAATAAGATTTTTAACAAAAATTTCAGACATGCTAGGAACGATTAAAAAACGTAAAAAAATACCTCAAAAATACATTGATCTTTCCTCTTAATAATAACAAACATTTAGATGATAAAATTTTGTTTTCGTCAAGTTTGGCATCTTTTTCATCATGCCATGTTCTTTTTTTAGTGATAGAAATCTATTTTCCCTAAAAATTGTTTTAACAGAAAGGTTTTATAAATTTCAACTGACAGTGGCATTAGTTACTTGGTCAATGAATGCTGAATATTTTCCTTATAAGGAAAAAAATGAGAATAAAAACTACACTTTGTATTTATTCATCCCCAGTGATAGGTCTGGCATAAAGAACAATTTAAAGTGGGGAGCCCAAGCATGTGCACATGGACCAAGGTACAAAACTGTCCAGTCCCCTGTAACTAATGCCACACTGGCATCGATATTCCACTAATCCTCCCTCTTTGATGCAATGAGGGAGGTGCTGCCATAGTCAGAATCACTGGGATCAGAAATCCCTCATTTATTTGTTGTGTTCTGTCCAAAGATAGAAACACAATTGAGAGATAAAATCTAGTTTGTCCACCCGAAGGTAGATACTACACTTAGCATTTGCTTGCTGCCCCATGGTAGCAGAATGTGACACAAGGTCAGTTTAATAGAGGGAACCTGAATGTTTGTACAGAGATCAGGTTAAAAAAATAGCCCAGTTGCCACTGGCATTGGTATTACTACCAATCTCTCCTCTTGAGTGTAATGAGGGAGGTAATACTGTGGGCGGATGTTTCGAGACCAGGCACCTCACAATATTTTTTTTCAGTTGTGCTCTGCCCGAAGACAAAGACACAAATGACTTGCACTCTGTCTTAAGACTGAAACACAATTGAGAGGTAAAATGTTGTTTGTCTACCTGAGGGCAGATACTACACTTTGATCCCAGCTTGATGGCCAGGGAGTGAAGAAAGGCTTAACTCAAATAGCAGTGGGTACTTGGTTAATGAATGTCGAAAGTTTTTTATAAGAAAAAAACTAATATTACCATTACCAAAATCCATGACCATAATCTTATTTTGGTTTTGAAGAAAACTATGTAAAGAGAATAGGTTCCATATCCTCATGTTTTAAAAACACATCTAATAAGATAGTTTTGTAAACTTTGGAATAGGAAGTAATCAAATGAACAAAGATCTGGAACCTAGCCAAGGTCTTCAAACTTTTTATATGTAATCTTTACTGTATAGGGACATGCATTATTACAATTTGCAATTGATCAAACTGGGTCTCTTTTACTTCAAAGCAGTATTTAAAAACTAATTGTTAACAGAAACATCTGCTGTAATTATAACACTGACTGGTAGCAACTCAGAAAAGACCAGAAGAACACAATACAAAACTTGGGTGGAACTCCATTTTGGGTTGTATTATAAACTGTTCACATCCACAAAGGCATTGTTTGTAAAATATCCATTTTTTTTTTTTATCACAAATCACTGTCTAATGATAAGAGATATATTTAGAAGAGAACAATAGAAGTCATTTTTAGAAAGTTTTAGCAGATAACAGTGAATGGTTTGAATTTACAATAGAGTTCAGGCAAAAAATAGATTCAATAGAATGATCTGTTTGTGGTTCATATTTTAAGCTGAGGCTAACTTATCTAAAACTTTCAAATCATCTTCAACAGTTAAAGAAATGAAATATTACAGCCTATCTCTGTAGCATTACATGTCTTATGTGCTCTGTAGACAAAGTCATCTTTAGGAGGGTTAAATTAGTAACTAAGTGAATTGATTTATACTGTAATGATGTAACATTCAATTTAAATTGAATGAATACATAATACTAGGCCTTGCTATATGAGGCATTTTAGAATAGCAAAAATATAATTTGATTGCTATAACATTACTTATGAAATGACAAATGTTTTCACTTGGAAGTGCTGGTTGTCTTTAATCAGTTCATTAACAGCGGTAGTTTTGCTAATATAGAAAACATTTTCTCAGAAAAATCATACAACATAATTTATGTGAATAGGCTATATTGTTACTTATGAATGTGAAAAAAAAGATCAGTTATTTGTAATGGGTAAAAATAGAACGAGATGAAATGTTTTTAATGACAAAAAATAAAAACTGAATTCTGTAGGCTGAGTGTACACTAAATCTGTAAAAACAGTTCATACTTGCAAAAAAATCAAATATAAAATGTCATGAGGAGAAAGGTGATTATATTTTGAGAATTAAGTGTTTTTACCAACTTGTCTGAACTCGAACTGGAAATTCTGCCTTTTATTATAATTATCTTTAGTTGCTGACATGTTTATGCTACAAATGTACTATTATGGTCCCCCTGTTGATGCAAGAAAAATAAAATTTTGTAGGTTCTCTAAATAATTTAATAATTAAAAAAAAAAATAAAAATAAAAGTGTTTTTTTTTGGCATTTTTTAGCAAATTTTTGGAGGTATCTAGCTAGATAAAATCTAGGTACCCTCCAAAAATGGACAAGTTTTTCTCTGAAAAAAAAAAAAAAAATGCTACCAAAAATCAGAATTGTCCAATTTGAATGAAATTTTCAGCACTTATTAAAAACTGAATTGGTTATTTTATAGGAAACTTTTTAGATTTCATTGGGGGGGTTGTCAGTTACATATATGCATTACATCATGAACACTTAAAACTGGTAGGTTGATTACAATATCTTTTAAAGTTTTATAAAGAAAAATTCCTATATTTCAGTAAAAACTTTGTAATATCAGCTGTGAATTTATCATGAAACATTGCAAAAATATTTCAATAAATCTCAAAATATAATTTTTGTGATGTTTGCTTAATTTAATAAAACATTTTCAGTTCTTTTGAAATTGATTGGTGAAAAAAATCTACAATGAATATTTATTTTTGAAAAATTAACATGTAATTATTGAACGAGATTTTGAAATTCTTCCGGTTGCTAATAACAAGAGATCCTTTTTTATTAAATAAAGATTTGTTTAGATAATTAAAAAATGTAAAATTTAATGCCATTTTCAAAAGAAATATTTTAAAAAGAATTTTATTTCATTTTCTTTTACAACTGTTAAACTATTTTTTGTATGAAAGATCAAATAGAAAATAATTCAACAATTCTGCATTACCTTTCTCTTGGTGATAAAAGGTTAAAATTAATTTGCCTTCGTATTCAGTTACCAATATCATAAAATGTTCTAGACAGAACATTTTATGATATTGGTAGCTGAATGTGAAGGCAATCAACTAATGTTCTTATCAATTTCCCCCAATTTATTTTTTTCTTTATATAGATTTTCTCAATTATCAAAAAAAAAAAAGAAAAAAAAAAAAAGATTTAATGCAATTTCATAGCATCAAAAAATATACAGAATATAAATGTTTAAAAAAAAAAAAAAAAAATTATTTTATTATTTCTTTTAAAAAAGATGTTTTGTTCATTAATATAAAAAATATTCCAAGTTTCATAAAGGACTATAGAATAAAAATACATTCCTAACTTATTGGTAAGGGTAAAAATGATTGTTTTAAAAAACAGGCAAAAAACCAGTTTCTGTCTTGATAGTTTTAGTGTTTCATTTAATCAAATTTGAGGTAAGATTTGGGGGGGGGGGCGTTACCAGGGTAACAGCTAGTTTGACAGGTAACTCGATGTGCTCAAATTGGTTTTCGCTCTATTTTAAACTAATATTTTTCCAAAATTCTGTTAATTTTCTTTGAAATAACTAGGACATATTTGATTTTAAAGTGTCTTAAATTTTTTGTCATTATTTTTCAATTAAAATGGCGAAATAATAACTTGACCATGAGAATGCTTTTAAAATATCTTTCAAAACATACTGAAATATAAAATTATTTTCTAATATATAGTAAAGAAAAAAAAAAGTAAAGGAAAAAAGGCTCTTGGAAACTAAAATGTAATTGGTTGAAATTTAGAAGTGTTTATTTCTTTCTTATTTAACATTTCTTATTTATATGAGTTATTCTTGTTTAACGTTTACAATTTTCTGAAACGTAAAAACTTCAGTCTGTTTTAGATTTTAATCATTTTGTTTTCTGTTCTTTAACAACTTTTATTCTCTGTTGCGATAAGAAGCATTGGACTTAATTAAATGGTAATTAATTGATATGTGTACAAGTATTCCACTTTTAATCTTAAAGATTTTCTGGTTACTCATAAACGTAGACAATAAAATAAAAATAAACTTCAAATACGTCCGTGTGGTAACTTTTTGTAATGTAAGCTGTGTAGTGTAAATAAAATTGATCCCCTTTTCTTTTTTTACTAAAGCTAAAAACAAATATGCTCATACAACGTGCTACAAATTCAGGGGTTTGGTTAGGATTTATTAAATTTTAGTGAGGTTTTTTAGTGTCATCTGAATAAGTCGAAATAATTTTTAAAATGATTATTTGAACAGAAAAGGTTTTTCTTACTTAACTGCTATCAAGGAAATCAAAATTTATTTTTTATGTAAAAGAAGAAAAAAAAAACATTATCGAAAAAACGTCAAGCTTCTGATTTAATTGAAGTATTTACAAATTGTTTCATAAGCATGTCGTATTATTTAATCAAATGCTTGGTAGATAGAAATGACAAGCAGTAAACTCAGAATTTCGTTTTGCTTGATTTACAGAAAAAAGTTAAGTCATCCATATGCTTTTACTTTTCTCGGTAAACATAATAAACAATAAAAACATGGTCAGGAAGCAATAGTCCAAACAACCGAAATTCTATAGTTGAACAACACTACTTACCATGTGCAACTGTTGAGGGTTGTCTTCTGCTCTGCCATCTTTGAATAAGGGTGATTATTAGGATTGCTAACACCAACAATGTGGCTAAAACAAAATAAACTGTTTCTCTAGACCAACTTGAATCAACTTTTTCATGAGAAGCCATTTTGACAAACTGAACCGGTGTTGCAGGGAAAAAAAAAGGTGGAATAGCCACTGAAAAGAACGAAAAATGAAATACGAAATAAAAGTCACACTGCTGGGCTGGCGGCTTACAATTATCGCGTAAATATTTGATTCAGTTTTATGAAATATCATTATTTTATTAAAGTACTAATTTTGAATAGCAACTAAAAATCATAGTTTAAATTAAAAATTTAAGTTCTATTCGTATTAGAAATTGTTGCTTAAATTAAAAATAAAATTAAATTAGTGGAGGTGACTAACCGACACACCTAAGTCAAATTATAGGTTTGAATCAGTATTTTTTTCTCTTCTTCATATGTATTTTTAACCAAGCACTAACAATACATGTTCACACTGAGAGCTTTAATCGGGTTGATGTTTTATCCAAGGCTTGAAAGGTGCTTAACTGTAACAGGAGAAGAATATACCTGGAAAAAGAACCGTTTAAAAATTAAAGCAGTGGGATTTTTAAACATCATTGATAGATTTACCAACTTAGCAGAATCAAAGTTAAAATTAAAAGACCTGGAAGCCGTCTAAGAAAGATTAATTTAAAGTAGAAATACCGCCTGTAATGAATTACAGATTTAAAAAAAATCTTTATTCTTTATTTATTTGTAGTTTATTTAATTGTAGCTTATTTTATTTCTTAATACCTAAAATATTACGAAGGAGTATTGAAAAATTCTCGGTCCGATCCATTTTCCATTTTTAATCGTTACTTGGTCGGGTTGAAAAACTTTCAATACCTTCTCGTACATTCATTCATTCATTCATTCATTAACTTTAATTAATAATTCTTTCTGTCTTTGCTGTTCTTCTTCTTCTTCTTTATGTACCCGTGTCCCTTCCACAATTTCCTGTCCTTTTTAGCTTTTTAAATTTAGCTCTTAATAGATTTTATGATCTTTTCGTTACCATTCAAGCTCGCTACGTAGGTTATACTTTATTTTCCTTTTCTCCCTTTAATATGTCTTGTGAGTATCAGATTTAAAAAGCCACTTCTTCATTATGCACCCCATAAATGTCTCTTCTTGATGTTAAGGATAAGTTTCCTTTTTTCTATTTTCTCTAAAACCTCGTCGTTGCTCACGTTCGGTCCATGGCATCCTCAGCATCCTTATGTAGAGCTACATTTATGTTGTTTCACGTCTCTTCATCTTTGAGGAAATTGTCCGGAATTCACTGCCATATAGAGGGATAGATATCATAACAGTTCAGTACTCTTTTCTTTGTTTCTAACGAACTTTCAAATAAAACGAAAATTTAACCAAAAAAGTACACATTTAAATTATTTTAAATGCGTTTAAACAAAGGGTGTTATGGCGTAAAGTTCTGCAATAGATGTTGTCAAGTCAACAGATGGTAACTCGAATGGCATTCGCTATGGCTTTCTGTCCTTTATACAATACTACACCCCCCCTGAACCGAAATGGCCTTATGCCCTTCGTTGATCTTTGACTTCTTGTAATTATTCTTGGGAATCTAAATTGTCTTTCTTAGTGTGTATTTTGATTTCTTATTATAAGGGACCTGGATCTGAGTTCATTTTCCTTTTCCGACTCCTCGTCAGAGTTCTGGTCATTGTCATCCAAGGTTTATGATTGTTCAGTTTCACTACTGGATTCATTAGTACCCTCCCCCTCCTCTTCATGTTTTTCACCTTCAGATTCTTCGTCCATTTCTATATCTCCGGGTTCCATTTTGCTTCTGAATTGATCCGCATGGGTCAGTACATTTTTCGTTAGCATTGCTGTGTTGTGTCCTTTCTGTCCAACATGGTTCGCCTTCTCTGGATTAGATTCTTTCTCTTTTTTTTTTATACCACACCCTTTCACTTGTTGAAAATGGAATTGTTATGGGAGCTGTAATCTGTCTAATCATTAATGCGGAGGGACTTTGTAGTTTTCCGGCATGTTGAATTGTCCTATAGCTTAACAGTAAGCTTGGTAAGTAACTCTGCATTATCATTAGATGGGTAAAATGCTTTTTTAGTCCCATTTCACTGTCTGCGCCATTCTTTCTGCAATTTCACTCGATTGTGGGTGGTAGGGTTGTTGCGGGTTGTAGCTGAGTGAAAATGTATCAGAAGGTAATTTATGTAAGGCAAAGATCATGCGTGCTTATTATGCATTATCCCACAACACGTAGATCAAATAAAGAATATAAGGACAATTTGTATCGCAAGAAATTACTAAAAACACAGTGGTTAGAGATCCAACAATAAAGAGACTTTTATATATACAATAGATATACATGCAAGGATAACAGAATGTTTGTTGATTGCAGCAATTGAGACAAGGTTATGAAGAATGTTCATGCAGAAATCTCGTCAATAAAAGTTAATGGTTTTGATTTGTTTGTGAAATTAAAATAATTTGGTTTCTGCAAGGAAAAATCTCAAATGTGTTCGTTCAAATATTAGTGTGTATGCGTGTGTTACTTGTTATAATTTAAGTTGTGAAGAGTTGTTTGCATTTAACTGTTTGGCTAATTTGATGAATTGTACAATTACTGCTTGTGTAGTGAAAACGTTCACTTTTTAAGTCATTTGTAATTTGATTACCACGCATGATCGATTGAGTGCTGTGTTTTAATGGTCGATTGAGTGCTGTGTTGAGTTTGTTGAGAATTTTGAAGTGATGTTGAGTCAGTGAATTGACACGCGTGGAGTTTGGTAGCATTTCACGAAACTGACAATATTTATTTCTGTAAAAGTTACAGAAAATGTGGTACAAGGCCTAAAAAGGGGGATGGGGAAAGGACGGTCATCATTGGTCTTAATTTTAAAACTTAGCTAGCCATAACCACTGACCCAATCATACAAAACAATATTCCTACCACCAAAACAACACATTCATACTTACTTTTCTTACTACATCCACCAAAATACCTCATTGTCTCAATAAAAATCCTAAATAGTCCTCATATATACAAATCGTTGTCTGTGAGGGGAGGGGAATAAAAACAACAAGTTAAAAATCCCCAATGATTATATACAATATGGTTATAAACTATTTACAAGAAACTAAACAAAATCGTGTTAGTAATAAAACCCCTCACAAACTTTAAATGTGGCAGAAATATCAGTTAGCTGGACGAAATCGATGCGGGACTATAAAAATATAGAAAACATTCATCCATCCAAAGCACTCACACAGACATGCACTCATTCTGACACAACAAATACGAAAAAAATAAAAATAAAATAAAATAAAAGCAAAACGAAAGGTGCCCCGCATCCACCAGAGAACTGACATCACTGACCACCTAATGAGGGAGGGGATGGGGAGTTAAACTAAAGGAAAAAAAGGGACAGAAATAAAAGGGGCCAATGAGCAAACACACTCTAGCTAAGTTTACAGGAAAAGAAAAGAAAAACTAAAGAATCAAATACCAAAAAACCTACTCTAGCCTAAATCCAGGGATGGGTTGCCTAAGTTCAACCCAGGAAAACAATATTCTTATACCTAACCGGCATCAAAATGCCACTCTAGGTCAGCCCCTTTTACTCGGCACAAGCGCGCAAGATTCACCCACCTTTTGCCAAATTCTGATGAGGTGAGCCGCCGCCTTTCCGTTCTAATCTTGACTTTAAGCTGGTGCTTAAAGAACAAGATCAGTTGGGAAGAAGTAAACGTCTCGCCATCATAGAATTCCTTCTGACGCGTCGTCCAAATCACGACTCTCATTACACCTAGTAAGCAAAAGAATACATATTGTTCAGCCTTCGTCTTCTGTGGCACCACATTGCTACAGACAGAACTGGCCTCAAGGACAAAGAACTTTCCCTGTAGCATGCCGACCATGAGGTCTTCAACAAACTTGCACAACGGCGCTACCACCATGCAATGAAAGAAGGCGTGTCCAATGTTCTCGACTTCCCCACTACAGCGACGGCAGTTTGGAGATTTCTTCAAGCCCGCTGAACAAAGTCTTTTGGCAACCCAGAGGGCCCCACGAATCCTCAGCCAGGTGAGTGATGCCTCACTTTTATTGAGGCATTTCAACCCGGGCGCTCAAGGCCACATTGAGCGAGCCTCCTGCTCCGTAAGACCGAGCTGGTCAATCAGATCATCACGAACGGACTCCCCTGACTAATAGTTGATACAATGCCCTACGAGACAACGCCTGGACGATGGAGAGGCCATTCAACGCCCATAAGAGGCGTTTTAAAGCAATACGACATTCACGATAAAAGGAGCATTCGGCTCGGGGTGTACGGCCGGCCTCCTCCTCGCACGAGTGCACACTTCTCAGAGATGGGAAGTTTCTACGGACGTCTTCCTTCCAAAAGGCGCCCTCCTCATCCAATTCGCGACACATTCGGTCTAGGAAGGCGATGCGAAGCATATATTGACGAATCTCAATGCTAGGCATACCCAGACCGCCCTCAGATGGATGAAGGCAACAGATCTCCCGAGATACCATAGCGGCCTTGTATCTCCACAAGAAAGAGAACAAGAGCCTTACTAATGACATTAGTGTGGTATACGGAAGTGGAAGTACAGAGAGTCGGTAAAGGAGAATCGGGTAGATGTGTGAAACACATACTTTCGCCCTTCCCTTCAGGAAAAGATTCCTCCGAGATCAACCACGATCTCGGCCTTCCCTTGTACCTCTGACCAATTCATTTCCAACTGGAGATCAGGACCGAACTAGACGCCGAGTATCTTGACCGGCCCATCCGTCCAGAGGAAAGGTCCGGGAAGAGAAACTTCCTTCCACGCACCCAACCGCAATCCAACAGACTTATCATGGTTGATCTTGGCCCCTGTCACCATCTCATAACCACTGATCTCTTTGCTGACTTCGTCAATCTCGGCTCTGCTCGACACAAGAACCGAAACGTCATCAGCATAGGCAGAATACCTGGCTGAGGTGGTAGCCCCAGACAGGGAAATTCCGCGCAGGACTGGATTCGCCTTTAACTTGCGAAGGAAAGGTTCGAACGCAAGAACATAAAGCAAAGGCGAAAGCGGACAACCTTGACGAATGGAGTGAGACAATACGAAAGGCCCCGATCTTACCCCATTCACTTCCACCAGCGCACCGGGGGTCGCATACAAAAGTCGGACCCAGGAGTGAAAGTCGGGCCCGAAACCGGCCGCCGAAAGGACAGCCTCCAGAAAACGATGGTCAACCCTATCGAAGGCCTTGGACTGATCTAAATTGATCAGCGCCACTTCACTGTGGACTTGTTCTAAGATCAAGCGTACCATACGAAGGTTGTCCACAGCAGAAGTCTGTTCGGAGCCAATCAGACTAGACAGAACAAGCTGCAAACGATCTTCGCCAAAATCTTTAACTCTGTGTTTAACATGGTTAAAGGGCGAAAGTTATCTAACCCATCCCCACCGTTCTTGTCCTTACGCAGCAACTTGATCACACCCCTGGTGAAGTGTTGAGGTACAGACCGCTGCTTCATCCAGTTGTTGAAAATCAGTTCCAGCAAAGGAACAAAAACGGGCGACTGCCTGAAGTAAACTTCGTAGGGAAGACCATCTAGTCCCGGAGATTTATCCAGGTCAACCTGTTTCGGCGCTTCCCAGATTTCCGACTCTGTGATGGGGCCCTCGCACCCAGCCGCTTCAGCTGCCTCGAGGCAGGGAAAGTCGGCTAAATAGGCGTCGAACTGAGAAGGGCTCAGACCGGGCTCCCTAGTGAAAAGTTCCTGAAAGTAATCCCGAAAGGCCTCGCATATGCCCG